ATGGTTTTTAGTCAGTAAGAGTCTGACACTCCCTTCCGCCTCACCCAGGCGGGAGCAGTCATTCGATGATTTTCCCCCCTTAAAAAAAAATGTGTCCGTAAGGCCTACAAAAATATCTTTCGAAGAAATGTGTCCCCTCCCCGTCTATTTTGTTAATGAGAGCAGATCATTGCGATACGTTAATATACAGACACGTTGCGATAATACGACAGTTTAGTACATTATTATTATGTACTATTATTGCTTGTAGTTTGTACGATTTCATGTATTTTACGTAACGACCGATTGCAAGCCGTTTGTGGTAATTCTTAAGAACGGTGTTTAAGAAATGAATAGCGGTGTATTTAGGCATTTTGAAAGGTATTTGGTGATGTATTTTGTATGGACAGACTCGGATTTTGATTGGCCGGTTATGATCTGATATTCTTTAGTATCTACTGATCGTTGGGTTGGTGAAAATAAAGCCCAACTTCTGAGCATAATGCCTTGTCTTTAGAATCATCCAGCGTAAACCTAGGATCCTGTCTCACATTATGATCCGACACGGAAAATAGGATAAGACAGCGAAAAATAGTCTATGAGAAAGTTATTTATCAAAGGTATAACTCTCAATAATAAGGACAAATTCTGCAACGTGGAGGAGGATAGATTAACTTAACTAACTAATAATTTATATGAACTGCATTTACAAACACGAAACAACAATCTCATAACCTTGAACAAATGCAGAACAGTTTCATACATATTTAATACCCTTAGGCGTAAATGTAGTTAATATTTACATCTCTGATATTTATGTAACATCCATAAGGAAACCATATAACTTTGTAAATACTGTTCAGTAGTTTCAGCTCTAAGTGCTCCAAGTCCTCCAATATTTGCTGAGCAAACATGACTCTATCGTCGACGAACTTGAACTGATGTTTAAGAGCTAATATGGGGGATGTAAGAGTCTGAGTAGTAAAATGGTAGTAAATAATAGCGACGGTGACTTTGCTAGTCGTAAAAATGATAACTGACAATTTCCACCGTCTTTTAATCATATCTTTAAAATTAAAATGGATTCTGTTTTACACATTTATCAATTGGCAGTTTGCAAAGAGAAATAAGGATATAGATTATAAAAGATGTGATGATTAAAATGAGATCACCTTGAACTCGTATGGTAACTATAAAATACACCGTCAGCTTCTATCACTTTTTTAACCAAGAGTAGAAAATGAAAAAAAGAGCGAAAACTCTGCACGTGACGACGCATATTCACGTGAGCTCAAATCCGCACTCCCGAACGGATTGAATATGGATATCTGACGAATATTGGACAAAGGGATACTCTGGAATATCGCACACGTTCCATATACTATGCTGATTTATTCAGATTGATCCGTCAGTACGGTCGACTATGAATGAAAGTCCCCCTATATCTAACCGGTACTAAGAATCAGTTAAATGGTTTTATGAAGATGGACGGGTTCTAACTTTGTAATAATGTTTGTAATTGTTTCTTGGCGAGGTCAAAGGAGATCTAAGTCATTGTTATATTAAAGCTATTGAATATTCAGGACATCAAAAATGATTGTGTCATTTTGCCACGTTTTAGAAACATCAAAGGTCGTCAAAGCAGAAAATATCTTTTTATTTCTGAATAAGTATGCTGTGTGAAAATGAAAGAATTTAAACTCATTAACAAACGTTTATGTAGTCTTAACATATGATGCACTTGGGTAAATTCTCTCTGAATATGATTAGTTACAGAGCGTGGCTTTGGTTATGACGTAAATCGGATAAGTGGTTATCACGTCAGAAGCACATTACCGGCTAGACAGCTGAGAGGAGTTGTCTGTGACAGTAATAAAGAAAATTCCAACTTCAGAGGCAAGTAGTAATAAAATAATTTCCGGTTTTGTAGGAAAAAAACCATATTTTTCGTGCTTCAAGAAATTCTGCAGAATATGGGCCTTTAAACACAGCGGATCATTCGTTAACTATCCATCTGGAAAGAGGGCTGGACATAATTTGCACAAGTCTTAAAATTTTTGCACCAAAACCAACCGAATAGGCCAAGCTAACTGAACCGAACAGTTTTCGTTGCTGCCCTTCGAAAATTGGAAACATGAGTCTAATGAGAAGTGACGTAATTTAGAAATGCTAGCCTCTAGAGGCAACTAGGGCTTGTCTAGCACAACATAACTATGTCTGTCTAGCCCTAATCGTTATTAGAACTGACGTTCAGTTCATATTTTATGTAATTTACGAGAATTCGTGTTGGTTAAGCCAAATGTACTGAGAATTTATAGGTCGGCTCCGTTTGGTTTATTATGATCCTGCAACCGATGTTGGTTATTTATATTCCGTGTCGCTCATAGATTTTCTTCCTGGAAGTAAGTTGTGTGAAATGTACTTGGCCAAGTTTTTTGATATGTTAATGTTCAGTCTGCTATTTTTGTAGTAGTAACAATATTTTTTTTAGCTACTTCATTCAGTTACAGTTCCACTTTGAAGTTAATCAATGATTGGTTTTGTATAACTTGTCATCACTGAGCCATGACGTAACAATCGCTTGTTAGTTCAATGACTGTAGGAGCTTCGTACTCATAAATGATAATTGTCATTTTTTAGCTAATAGTCTATTGATATATTTTTTTTATTAATTCTTAGTTATTTTTAGAGCATTGGCTCAAGACCTTTAAATTAACCTGGGTTTCTATATAATTGTATATCTTTTTCCTGTCCAATCTTATTCTTTTCCCCCTTCTTCCTTAAAAACCGTCACTGTATAAAAAACCCCCTTTCCCTTTCTTATCATTCTTCCTACAATCTTTCTATCTTTTCATTGGCTGTCTTTGGACAATACAGACCTAGTATTATTATGTAAATTGCACCACAAAGTCGTGTAGTTTCCGCCACGTATATTCACACATGCTAAAGAATTCACTAACGGTCCATGGGAACTCCGATGGTCAGCAGACTGTTATGTATCTGATTATGAACTCATTCGTCAAGCACGGTTTACTGAATCTCGTCTAATTACCCGTAGCAGTATCTTTGTCGCAAAAACTGGGCGTGTGTCACGAATGCATGTTTGTACGGTCTCCGAGAAGTAAGCGTAAAAAATTGGTTGCAGATCATTTGATGATTTGTTGAGGCGTAACTGTAACTCAATGAATGATTATTTGTTATTACTTTTAATTGGTATTTGTTGCTTTTTGTCTATGTCTTATCTGCGTTTTTTGTGCAAGGCTATGGTTCTTGTCGATATGTGTTTTCTTGTGAGATCTGCGAAAGGTCGTTGCCAAAATATGGATCAGTCGTATAGTCTTATGTGTTCCGTATATGGCACTCGATATTTTTATACTGATGCATTTCTGTCCACACCAATCTATCTGAGACATGATGAAAATATTCTTGAGTATCTATTTATAATCAATTTCTTTGATTCTATAACTGAAGTGCTTCATATTAGTTAAACGGTTGAAGTTTATTTGCAATTGTTCATTCATTAATAAATGAATTGCAAACCAAATGATTGTTGATTGACTGTGACATTGATCGTAACGTAACGACATTGACTGAAAGAAAGGGTATACGGTAATATTTTTTTCGAGCACAAAACCACAGGAATGATTAGGGCCAAGGAAGGACCAGGAAAATGAACCACAAGAGCTTAAAATCAATAAGCTATCAAAGGAAAACTCATTGCAAAACATTCTGTATCCACTACCACCCAATCATGTTCTATACAAACATACCGTATTGCAGTTCCAATAAAATCTAATTGAAATTGTTTCCTTTCGCAATGTTTGTTAAACCAACAAATAGCACAGTTCATTTTAACAGAAAATACACAGGGCCTAGTACAAGTTTTACGTTAAGTGCTGTGATTGGTTTTTTTTAAGGGGGGAAAATCATCGAATGACTGCTCCCGCCTGGGTGAGGTGGGTGGGAGTGTCAGACTCTTACTGACTAAAAACCACCCCGTTCCTTCTCCTGCATGTCGAGCCCCGGTAACTCGTTAGGTTCTCCGCGACTCCGAATCGTCATCGGCCCTATTGGGCCCCATCTGTGGTAGTCTGATGGCTCTTTGAGGCGCGCGCGGAACGCGACGCGCCGTACGCTCAGGTCTATTCAGCTGGTTGGTCCATTGGAGCCCAATCAGAGCACCGAACGTCATAAGTGTCGATCGCGTTAAACGTATAACAAATTCATACTACACCCTAGGTTAGCTCTGATTTTGTCATTTTAACTGTACGAGTATGCTGTTGTTGGTCTCGTATTAACTTTGTGATACCGGTTATATTTGACGGCCTATGAATTTTGTATGACCGTTGAAGTAATTACGCGTTTATGACTTATTGTTTGAGTCGGAAAATTGGGTATTAAATTCATAATTTCCGTCTCCCTGTGTATGCTGACTGATTAATGTGTTGTGGAGTATTTTAAGTTATTTTTTACTTTTTGTACTCAACTGTTATACAGTTTGTATAATGGGGTAGACGACTAATTTTTATTTTAATGTCCGTCTGGTAGATTATTTAAAAACATTAGACACGTATTTTTTATTTTCTTACGGAAACTAATAGTTTCGAAGATATATTGATTTGAAATGTCGCGTGACGTCACTTCTCAGTACATTTTATACTAAGAAATGACGTTTTAGCCCCCACTCCTAAACTTTGATTCGTTTTATCTAAGTATTGTTTTATTATACAACAAAATAAAAAAATACGTGTCTAATATTTTTTTATTACCTAAGTTACGGACTAATTATATTTTTAATTTTCATACCCTGTCATCATCCCCATTGTACTTTTTGACTCATCGTACTTTCAGATTAACTTTGATTTTTTAAGTGATAGTAGTTTTCTTTTATGTTGTAGTAATTTTACTAAAGGTAACCTAAGGCCTACCTTTAATATTAAAAAAACAACGTTTCGTAATTTCAATCCTTAAATCTGTTTAATATTCGCACCATGTGAATGACTCCATTTTTTGTTCACCAGGAAATAGAAGCAATCGAAGAACAATGGCGGACGGAATCAGCAGAATTGGTGACTGCAGTAGCCAGGCTGCAGGACGAGAACAAACGTCTACGGCGGACCATCAATGCACCTGCAGACGGTGAGGAGATTTATGAAGCTTAAATTGTTTCATCTAGGAATCAATTTGGATCTCTGTTAGATGGAATTGATAGAAATGAGCCCAAACACACAATAACTTTTTGGAATTAACTTTATCCAAGACAGCTGTTCACCTCGAGTTCGTTCGCCTAGAATAATGACTTCTCTAAGAACTTGGGTTTTCTTATAACAACGTACGCAATATATCTATTAATAGTATCTTATTGGTAGATTTTTCACACATCGGGATACATTATCGAAATTTTTACACTCATTCTCTTTTCAACTTGACTGCCTCGTTGGCCGAGTGGTCGTAAGTGCGACTGCCGAGCAAGGGGTTTCGGGTTTAATTCCCGGGTCGGGCAAAGTATTACTGGGTTTTTAAAAAAATCTCAGTAGTAGCACGGAGTCTGGAATTGTGCCCGGTATATGGCAATAGGCTCACCCCCTATTACATGGGACTCGTAACATAAATAGTGAAAAGTAGGTGTTACATTGTACAGTGGCATAATGTGCACCTCTGCCTACCCCTTCGGGATAAAAGGCGTGATGTTATATTATGTTATTCTCTTTTCAAATATGTTCTTCTCAAATATGCCTATGTTCATCAAGGATAATGTAGGAATCCAATTGTAAAATTCTAAATCGGTCTAGTAGTTCTGGAGCTTATTCAATTCAAATAAACGATCCAAATCTGTATAATATTAGTGTAGATGTCTATTTTTCTCTATTCTGCCCGCTCTCGATACACATGTATCTTTTATTTCAAAGCTTTTATTTTAGCTGTGTTTATTAACTAAAATCGCGGGTTACTCACGTGACAGTCACAGAGGGGTTCGAAACTACTACTAGTTTCGAACCACAGAGTGGTTCTTCCTCTAAGCTCTACAGCTTTTCTCAGTACATTCACGTGAGTAACTCGCGATTTTACTTAATTTAGTATGTCTCACGATAGTTATTATAAAAACTTTGCAGTGTTTGTTTGCTTTATTCTCCAAGATACGGGAATTCGATAAGTAATACTTAATACCTAATTCCATCCAAATAAATAGCTTTTATCACACATGAGAGCCCATAGCGTAGATAGTTTTACCAGTAACTGTTCGAGGCAGTCAATCATAGGAACCTGTCTTCCAAGTTTATCCCTTACAAGTTTCTAACACGTTTCAAGTTAGTAAAAGTAAAGTTCTCTATTGATAGAAAGTTCTAGACGTGACGCGTGTTATTGCGACGTTTCTTCAGTAATTAGGGTCACAACTCTGCCATTGCAGTTATGTCCAAATTGATACTTATCATTTCAGCAAAGTAATTTAGTTGCTTTTGTTGTGACAGTTTTGATAATATAATGTCTCGTTCATGGCCAATGACGACATGATGACTGTCCATTGACCAATTTTATCAGTTTATAATTTTTATCGGTAACAGTTGTCTACTTTGTTTAAATACTAGTGGGAACTAAACTGTTATCGATTATCTATCTATCTTCTATACATATAATAAAATTGTAGAAAAGTGCTGTCTGTACATTGAAAATAAAAATAAAAAAAATAGCAGGGGCTATTGTTATGTCGATGTCGAACCCAAAAATGTAACTAACTTTTTTTTTTGTCTGTTTGTCTGTTTGTCTGTTCACGCTAATCTCAGAAA